TGGGACCCACTGTGGGCTTTCACAAGTTTGTTGATCATATCCTCTATTACTAGATTGTGCCACCATGGCAAGTCCTTATTTTGATGATTGCCAGAGGCTCTTCATCACCCCGCCACAAGCTTCCTCTTATGTCAATCCACTTTATGATGAGAAGGCAACAGCTGACAGTGAATCTTCCAAATCACTTGCTGAAAGGATAGCTGATTTTGCTGAGGAATCTAACAGGCTTTATGAGGAACGCATGAGGAGGTTGGAGGAAAAGTTGAAAGGATACAAATCAAATCTTCCAGAACTTAAAACCCCTCAACCCAAAAGTGAGGTTTTAATGGAGGATTTAAAGAAGTGCCATGCAGCCGCGTCTCCAGGAACTTTGAAGCAGTTTTGCAAATCGCAAAACGTGACAGAGATGCCAATTGTAAATGAAGGTCAGACGACACTGAGGTCAGAGAGTAACCCCATGATCACAGTTGGGGGGCAGGAATCGCAATTGCAGCGTGTTGTCCAAAGTCAGCAACGCCATGCAGCTTTGGAGGCGACTTCAACAAGTATGCCTCCAAGTCATTCTAAGTCTGCAAAGACTAAGACTAGCAATAGTCCTCTTACTCCTGGGAGGCATAAACCAACTCAGGTGCAGACATGTCAGCCATCGATCAATGAAGGTCCATCTGATGGCCAACAAAAAGCTGATGCTGCTACACAAAAGCCAACACTTTGGCCAGCATCATGGCATAAATCTGATAAGGTATCCACCTCATCTATTTCTACTTCTTTTGAGACTAATGAGCATATTTCTTCAGCCTTGCTTAAGAAGTGTTCGCGGCGACCATGCTTTCTTAATGGTCGAAGCCCTTCCAAGTTCAATTATGGACAATGGCTGAAGGTGAAATATCCTTTTAAAGTCGTTAGTCTGAAGAGGGGAGTCATTTCCAATCTCGGGGGGCAATCTAGTCAGATTGAACAACAAAGGTTGCAAGACCTTATTGCCAATGAAGTTCACAAAGCTATAGAAAAAGAGGTAGCAAGGTTTGTGCCATTGCAGCCTGATGCCAATTCAAGCATCCAATCAATGCCGCCATAGCAAAAGCATGTGTGAAAGCTTAGTCCACCTCAGCAACTTGCAGAATCAGTGCCAAAGGCCGCTCGGGAGGCATGCAGGCCACCATGTTGTCCAACATGCCATAGGCCATATTCAAAAAATAATGATTCTTTCCAAAGTGGCTTTCACAAAAAATGCCCAGATTTTCCTTGCAGCCACAGTGAGAACATGGGAGGCGGCATAAGAAACATTATGCCTTCACATTTGCCAAGTCGAAGAAGGAGGAAGAAATCTAAAGACCTCTGTTGGACACCAATGAAGGAACAAAAGCAACAAACCCATGTCTCTGAGTGGAGGCACGGGGGGCATGATCTCATAGAAAAGCATGGAGGCATGTGCAAATGCTGCCTTTATAAACAAAGTCAATTTAGACATTGTCGCCATATAAACTTGGTGGCCTGCCAAGAGTTCCCTACCCAAAATCCTAGGACTCTTCGAAGGCGGCTTCAAAAGAAAAGAGCTAAAGAGCGTCGGAGACATGTTGCCGAGGTGCATGCTTCGCAAAGGCAACAACCGCCAGGGAGGCAAAAGTTTATTTGGGTGGAGAAAAAGAAACACAGTGCAGCTTCTCAAGAGGCAAATCAAAATTTAGTCAATGCAATCGTGTCTCCAAAGACGTCTGCCAAGTGTGTTCCTTTTAAGTCAAATGACTCAAAGGCAGCTAAGGAGCTTAATGTCAGCAGCAAAACAATTAGCCTTGGTGAGTTTATTACTGAACTTCCAAGTTCCAATCCAAATCTCCCTTTTGTTTTCACAAGGAAGCAAAATGCAGCCTCTAGTAGCAAAGGGGCAGCAAAGAACAAAGCAAACAT